GTTTAAATTTGTGGCCATAATTACCTCGATAACCGGCAAATATGCTGAATCGTGGGATGACGTGTGTTCAAGGCATTAAATGTGGAGAGACGTGCGTCTAATCAACCGTTAGAAGCTTTTCAAAGGAGGTAAGAGAAATTCCTGCCAAAAAAGAATATTTCTACCAATTTCCCGGTGACACAGAGTTATGTCATCGGAAAGCAGGGGGACTATCTATATAGGGTAAAATATGCTATGCTAAGTAATTAAATAAGAGAGTGAAACGTGGAGCCAAAGGTAGAGGATAGCCAAAACCGAAGACAACTGTTCCATTTGTTACTGGAAAGAATGATGCTCATAAAGATGCAGTAAATACCTGCCACCCAATAGCATTTAATGGAGAATATTCTACAGCATTTAGTACACTGCCTGTTACAACGAACTTGTCATTCATCCCGCCATTACACATTCTTCAATAACCCTCGTAATTGACATTAAAGAAGGACATGATCCTAGGACCTTGTTCCCTAGATGTAGCTATAAATAGTGACTTATGTTATCATTGTAAAGGACACGAATTTTCTAACAAACTTACGCTATAATCTATTTAAAGTTGTATTCAGTTTACCTTTGTGCTTCTTGATTTCATTATTGTTGTGCCCGGAAGCCTTGCTCCTAGAACTACTGTTTCTACTATTTCATCTTCATCTCAAGGCAAAGTATTACATATTTCGTCAATTCTTTTATTATTTCAGGATCGAATTAATTCGCTTGTGTAGAAATTACGTATAAATTCAACTGTACCATTTTACGGGTAAACAATCATATGTAGTTGGTTTACCTACTATCGATGAGAAAAGAAAAGGTAAGTTAAATATTTGGTCAGTCGCCCAAAAATAATTATATTCGCTAGCAAGCATATATATATATATTATCGAATATTATGTTTGGGATCGACTATTCTGTGTAGATTTCCCAACCGAAAGATTAGTTAAACGCACACGTCAAGTAATAAAGTGACTAAAAGTCGGATGTCGAACCCACGAGAACTTGTGATTAACTATTAACTAAATTAGACTATCCTAATTATTTAAATAAGAATTAAACCTAAAAATATTTGATTCTAAACTAATTAAATAAAAAAATATAAATAATGAACTTTGAACAGAGAAAGAGCA